CCGCATGGCTCTTTTAAGAGGCCTTGCTGCCAAACACTTATATGGTGTTTGTGAGCAGCCAACAGCACGCTACTCAATGGTGGCATGGAAATAAAACCTCCCTAGAGATGGGGGTGACACATGTCACTCCCACCAGTACCTCTGCCATGAAGCTAGACTCTCAAGAAGCCAAGGAATGTGGTGGAGACAGCCGTTTTAATCCTAGCTAGCTGTTTAGCAGATTAAATGCTCATGAGGTCAGAAAAAGGATGTGCAGTAAAGACAGATTAAACAAACAAGCAAACATACATACATACAACCTCTATATGGTTCACAAGGTATTTAAAAAAGGCTTGGGAGAGAAAACAGAAGGTATAGACAGTCATAAAAAAAGAAATATATAGGTGTTTTTTGGTTTTTCGAGACAGGGTTTTTCTATGTAGCCTTGGTTGTCCTGGAACTCATTCTGTAGACCACACTGGCCTCAAACTCACAGAGATCTGGCTGCCTCTGTATCCTGAGTGCTGGGATTAAAGGCGTGTGCCACCACTGCCCAGCAAAATATATAGTTATTACCTTAAAAGGGGAGTAAAGTAATATTTTAAAAAGCCACATAAAGATGGAAAATATACAGAGAGTCTGGATACTGTATGTTATTGTGTTGTCTTTGAATTGTTTCACTTCTGAGGAAGGAGGAACAGCTGCTAAGAGACATTTGATTATAAATGTAGCTGGGGGTTAGAGAGATAGCTCAGCAGTTAAGAGCAATGACTGCTCTTCTAGAGAACTTGAGTTCAATTCCCAGCACCCACATGGTGGCACAGAACCATTTATAGTGGGATCTGATGCCCTCTTCTGCAATAAAGATGTACATGCAGATAGAGCACTCATATACATAAAATGAAATAAATCTTCAAAGAAAATGTTGCTGGATTAATCCAACCTATATATTTTGAAAATGCCTTGACTTCAAAATTTAAGTCAAAAGATATGTTACTTTGGAAAAGAGGTTCTGCTTTTATCTCCACAGGAAATGAGAAGCTGTGGATTCATTCTGGGTTAAGAAAAATCAGATTTGGCTGGGCGGTGGAGGCGCACGCCTTTAATCCCAGCACTCGGGAGGCAGAGGCAGGCGGATCTCTGTGAGTTCGAGGCCAGCCTGGGCTAGAGAGTGAGTTCCAGGACAGGCTCTAAAGCTACACAGAGAAACCCTGTCTTGAAAAACAAACAAATAAAAAACAAAAAATCAGATTTGATCGAGGAAAAAAAAAAACCCTGAAAAATCTCTAGCGAGAACAGATGGCCCAGATGATTTCAGAGTGCCTCTGCTGCAGTTTCCTCTGAGTTCTGTATCCAGAACAGCTTCAAGACTGCTGGCTGAGATGATCCAGCCTCACAGAATTCTCCAGTCAGGACTTGACCATAATCCTAAATTTTCTCAGGGTCACCCAAAGAATACCAGTGCCCCCAGTCAGCAGGAAGTAATCTAGAGAACCACACTCACATTCCCCCACAAAATTACAAATGTTTGTCATAGTTTAGGGGGGTTAGTTACACTTGTTATAGATAATGGTCAGGAAAAAAGGTAAACAAAGGAGATTAGATTCAGGGATCTTGTTCTGAAAAGAAGAGAGGGGATATAGAAATAGGAAAAAAGGGTAGATTATTGAATCTACTTTAATCTAAAAAACAACTATTAATCTTATATATTTTACATTAGTATGGGTTTTGGTTTACTGATACAGATTTAAAGTTAATTTTATTATACTATATGTATATTTATACTCATACATTTAAAAATGTAATATATAATTAAGAAATACAACCTTATAGTCATCTTAATAGTCAAACTTACAGTCACGTTAGTTAGGTTTTCTAGGTATACAGAGATATATTTCAGATAGATAGGTAATCTTCAAACATTTCAAAGACTTACAGAATATGGTGTTTAAAATGTTTTAATAACTTTGGCTTTTCATGACAATGAGACAGGTTTGCTCCTGGCAGCACCAATTACTTCAAAGAGGATGATGGGCATCAAAGAAACTCCATGTGGAGTTTGTTTTCTTTTTGACAAAAGCTAGCCACGTGGGCAAAAAAAGTACCTTTGCCGTAACTGCTGACAGTATGCAGTCCAAATTAGACAAGCAGGACATAAAACAAAGTGACTGCAGAACTTTGCCTAGACAAGGTGGGACAGTCCTTCAAAATTCCTGCTTCACCGATAAGTCTATCAGATATGTTAGGCTTGTAAGTCACAGATGGATGCCCCAACATTGCAGAGGAACCTTGGGTGACTGTCCAGGTAGCTCAAGTACCCTGTCATTAGGTAACATTTCACCCTTCTGGGGTCTTCGATGGAGTTGAAGACTAAATAATTGTAATTACAGTTTTACTTAGTTATAATAGAAAGTAAATTAGATACAAAACTTTAGACTCACTAAGATAAATTATTTTCTCTAATTTTGCCAAATGCAAATGAATTAGATAGTATTACTGTAGTTCTTACTTAATAATTGTTTTTGTTGTATATAATCTTACTATGTTAAAGTTAAAACTTTCCTTTTTAATTAGACAAAAGTGGGGGAAATGCTGTGGAATAATTCTCTTGTACACTGTAAAGATTTGTCACTAGAATTGGTTTAATAAAATGTTGATTGGCCAGTAGCTAGGCAGGAAGTATAGGCGGGGCGACCAAACTAGGGATGATGGGAAGAGGAAGGGTGGAGTCAGGAGTCACCAGTCAGACGCAGAGGAAACAAGATGAGAATGTCGTACTGAGAAAAGGTACCAAGCCATGTGGCTAAACATAAATAAGAATAGTGGGTTAATTTAAGCATAACAGCTAGTTAGTAATAAGCCTGAGCTACCAGCTGAACATTTATAAGAAATATTAAGCCTCTGAGTCAGTTATTTGGGAAGTGGCTGCTGGGTATTTGGGAACTGGCAGGAGGGAGAGAAACTTCCACCTACATACCCCAACAAACAGTATATAAACAGTACATATATTCTGCAGCTACCACTGGGCTTCCAACACTATACTCATCTACAGGGCAAGAGTGACATTCAACAGAGTCAGCAAGATGGTTCAGTGGGTATCACCAATCCTGGTACTCCCAGGATTCCTCACAGTGGAACAGAGAAACTCCTGCAAGTTGTCTTCGGGCCTCTGCTTCCACACCATTGCACACATTTCACCACCAACCCGCCAACACATACACAATAAGTAAAATCTAATTTTAAAAAAATGTGTAAAATGACACTCAACAAACATCTATCAGGTCTACAAACACAGAGATGAGTGAAGTTCTGTGTTCTCAGCATCAGCAGATAATTCAAGCAGGTTACAAATATTACAAAACAAAGCTTGAGTTCAAATACGTACTCACCCTTGCTCAACCATCTCTTTCTCCCAGGACAATCATTACACTAGCTTTCATCAGGAATTCATGACATTCTAGGCAACTGGTCCTTGTTCTCTGGTGAGGCAGTGTGCACACCAAGGAGCCCTAGGAGGCAGTATATAAGGATCAAGAGACCTTACAAAGTCCAACATCCCAGCCTTCACACTCATGCTTGGTTAGGACATTCATGGAACCAGGAACTAACTTCCTGTAACAATAACTAAAGCAAGAAAATAATTTTAAACAGATTCATTCACATAGCAAGTCATTCCTTCACATCATCAACATGCAACATCTCCCTATTTATATAATGGTGCATGCATCCTCTATGAACCAACACTTGGGTTATCCATTCATCCTCTCCAAGGAGTGGAGACACCCATCATGGCATGTGCATATGTTCACCATTATAAGATGTTACACCCACATTTCTGCTGGGCTTGTCTAAGACCCTCCAGCCAAACACAGTTTCCCTCTTCACTGCTGGGCATTAATTTTATCATGAAACATCTGCACCCCAGTATGCATGCTGCCACAGCCAAGGTCACAGAATAGAGCCTAACCTTTCCCATGTAAGCATTTCTGACTGTACCAAGCAGTAGAAATTCCTACCACCAACTGTGGATTCAAATGAAGACCCAGGATCTACAAGCAGCAGACAGAAAGAAGGGACCCAATATCCCCAGCAGTGAAGTAAGAGAACCTCAAAGAAAAGTCCAAGTTTCAGATCATATTTCATGCCCTTTGATGATTCAAGGGCAGCCAAGCAAGGAGCCACTGAGAGAAACCACCCCTACAGAGACATGGATGGATTTTGTTCACTCCACTGATAGAGAACTATCCGACGGTGCAAATGCAAACAGATTTCATATGTCAGTTGTTTACACAGGACCTTTCAAGAGGCAGTGTACGTAGGGATGGTGGTGCAAGTCCGTAATCCCAGCACTGGGGAGGCTATGGCAGGAGGATCCTAAGTTTGAGGCCAACTTGGGAAGTGTAGTGATGTGTTTCAACTCTCCCACCCCTCCCTTTGCCCCTCCCCACAAAAGAATAAGAAAGAAAGGAAGGAAGGGAAAGAGGGAGATAATCATCAAGGCATTTCACTGAGACACACTTCAGTAAGAGTCAAGCTGTACCATAGAGACATAGACAACGGGTATCTCACACAACTGGGAGCAGACAAAAAAAACAGAACAGAACACACCTAATATCTACCAAGGAAAGCAAGCACTGTCCTTTCCTCACAGAACAAGACCTCTGCCACATCTGCCTACACCAACAGATTCCAAGTCCACTTGGATGTGTCAAAAAGACACAAGATTGCCGCACAGTGTCACATCATTTTCTCCCCCCCCCCCCTTTTTTTTTTTGGTTTCTCGAGACAGGGTTTCTCTGTGTAGCTTTGCACCTTTCCTGGAACGCACTCTGTAGCCCAGGCTGGCCTCGAACTCACAC